ATATATATATATATATATATATATATATATATATATATATATATATATATATATATATATGTACACAGGGTATTTGACACAAGATATATTGAACCACGTGTGAAGGTAGAGTACATCTACTTGAGCACGAGGGGCACTGGCATTTTGCAAACAACCACATAAAATTTTAAGATTTAAAAAAATGAAGATTAGCTTTTAGCAATGGTGACTATTCGCTCGTTCCACAGTGTCGTGTGCACTAATTCGCCAATCTTCTTGTTTTTCGAAGTTTTATGTGGTTGTTTGCAAAATGCCATGTTTCTCATGCTCAAGTTGCTTTACTTTCACATATGGTTCCATATATCTCATTCCAGACATTCTGTATACCTGTACGGCATAAATGTCTAAAAGACATCTTAGAGACGTCTAAAAATATCCTGCTTATTTTAGATGTCTTTAAGATATCTCTTGGATGTATTTCAGACATTTTTGCTGCTTAAGTATATATATATATATACATATTAAGTATATTATTTATTTTGCAATAGAATGCGCGCGTAATGCGAATGTACGCGAACCAAATCACAGACAGCATGCTTGAGAAGTCCCGAAAATTATTTTGTATCTCCCGCAGTCTGTCCTTTGGTTCTCAGAGAGCGAGAATATGTCGTTACTTTGAATCTTCAAGTATGTAGATTGCACTCGGATTTCGAGGTCCTTCGGAACGGATCTGTGGCATTTATTTCCATGGGTTTTTCTTTCCACGGATCCTAACGCAATCCTTGAGCGTTATATATAATAGTTCGAGAAATCCTCGAATTATTGAATCCTTGACGCACTATGACAAACGTATCGCAATGTACTATACCGTTTTATAGTCGCCTATTGTTAACACTACGATAACATAGTGAGAGATCGAAATAAAGGGCTCCTTACGTCTCGACGAATGGATCTTCTCAAGTCATTTCTCTTTTTAACTTAGATCGGATAACCTAAGAATCGCGCGCTCTTTCTTCTTCCTTATTTCAACGATATCTTTAAGCTTGTTACGCTTATTTGCATCTTCTTCACTCTCTTTACAGTCCATGTACATATATGTTTTTCGCCTTGAATGCAGAAAGTATGTAAGTAAATGTGTCAAAAAATGCAAAAATTCGTCGATATTACCTGACGACGAATCTACAGAAATTTCAAGTTTACAAACAAAATACTTCATTTCCTCTTGTAAAGGCTCATTCAACTTGCATAATCGCATTACATGTAAATTAAGGAACTTGACCAATCATGTATCTAAAATCTATATCAGACTGAGATTGAGAATTATAATTGGATGAATTTAAATTTCTGTGCTGCTTCAGTTGATTGGTCCGATGGCAAACCTTAAGATCATTCTACATTAGTTGCAAGTTGCGAGCCGGCAAGAAAATTAACTAATCACAGTCGATTATTCTTGCAAAAATCCACTGTGATTGGTTAATTTTTTTGTCGACTCACAACTTGCAACTAATATAGGATGACCTTTAAGTTACAGTCTGATACGAGCTTAACAAAGAATTGTTGCACACATTATGATTGGTTGGTGAATATTACGCATTATGCAATTACGATTTTTTTCCTGAAGAAGCCATGACACTAATCAGTGCAATAAATATTAGGTCTGTTAATTTTGGAAGAATTTTTTAATTAGTGCAACAAGTGTAATTACTCACTTTAATTATTGCACTAATGCAGGAATCTTCGCAAACTAATAGATCTATTAATCGCAGAGCTGCCACCTATATGCGCGCCAAAAATACAATTTTGGAGAATTATATATATGTGAAGCTTGTTCTTGTTCACGATTGTTTTGGGCGGTCTTTCGACACTTGCTCTGACACCATTTAAACTAAAATTTGAGAAGTAATCCTCGGAAAGGGACGTTCCAAAAAATTCACGATTTGAACGTGTTCGAATACGTCTCGGCGTGACGACGGTTAAGCCGGAGCTATATATGTGAAGAGTTGCATATCAAGAGTTGCGACGTACTCCAACGCCGATATGCAAAGTGAACGAAATCAAGCTGTGTTTCGAAAAGACGTCAAAGGTAAATTAATGTAAGTCGCAAGTATTGCGATTATTATAATTCTTGAGGTAAAGAAAATGCATAGTAAACTCTTCAAACGATTTTCTTGCACAGTTGAGGGGAACATGTACCTTGTCATTTTTTTACAATTCTCTTCTTGTAAGAGCTTCTCTCTTTACTGTCATCTTTTACAATTTCTATATATAAATAGAATTTATAAACAGAAGAACACACGAGAAACATTAATGATCTCTAAACTTCATCAAACTCTCGTTTATGATCAGTTATTTCGCAACGTACTTTTTACACTTTTGTACATTTTTCGTGTCGCAGTTGTCTTGACGAGAGTCGAAGAAGTTCTCAAGAGTTGGCAGGACAAGCTGCAAAGTAATGCTGCGTCCCAATTTCCAGAATATCATGGATCAGTACATGGAAATGTGCAACGTGAGCGAAGAATTCTTTGTCTTATTTTTATTTGCAAGTTAAAATTGAGGTTAACATAATTTTGATCTCGACGCAATATTGCATATTACAACCGTTTCATTTAATTGCGGATGGTTTTGATAAGGAGAAAACGAAATATCTTACGCGTACACAGATGGTTTCTACGCTGCGCGTTTTAAATATAGAGCAGCAACGATGCATAGAACTGGAGCGCGAAAAATCAAAAAAGACTGCAAACAAAATGAAGAACATGGTTTACTGGTTAAGTAAACGCGAGGATCACTATAAGGCGTCTTTGGACAGTTTGGAAAAAGAGAATAAAGATTTGCGACGTGATTTACTTAACATGCAACGTGAACGCGACCAGGCTGAGCTCACGAACAACGTTAAAGGTAAGATAAAATGACACACTATCGCAATTATGAGAAATTTTAAAATAATATGTAAACGTGATAAATTGTGCGACAGAAGTTCCGCAATTTTCCTAAATCGTTAAAGGGAAATTTTTCACAACATTCTTATAATTTCTCTACATAAATTAATTTTTTTACAATTGAAATAAGTAGAAAGAATTTATATAATAAATTATATATTATTATTTCTATATATCTTTGCAAAAGTATTTTAGCATTTTACAGATTTTTGCAGAACGTTTATATTTGAAATTATTGCAAAATGCGAATCAAGAAATATTTTATGTCAAAATTTAAATATAGATACACATATGTGAAGGATAAAAGATTAAAATAAATTTCCATGTAGTTTCCAAATTGCAGGATGAAGTCGAACTTTTACGAGTACAATTAGAACAGCTATACAATGAACACAAACAATTAATATTGCAAAATGAACAACACAAAAATGAAATTTTTAAAGAGAAGAACCTTTTAGAAAATGTGACTGCGAGATTGTTTAAGGTATATTATCTATTTTTCTCTCTAAGAATTATTTTACCATTAAAATCATTAAAAATTTCCACTAGTGAATTTTGTTGATGTAAATCGCGCAAATGATTTATTTACTTAATGATGATTTACTTAAATTAAATCATCCTTATCCCATTGTATTTTGAACATTAATTTTTATTTGTTTATCGGAATAGGAACAAAATGTAGCAAGGAAAAGTAAAATAAGGATCACAGAGACGCATCCTGCTTTAACAGACGAAGGTGGAGAGCAAAAGATAAATAAGTGAGAAAGTTATATAACATGTAGTCGAATATTTTTTAATTAATTTTTTAATTAATTTTAAATTTAAGCAATTGTTGAATTGTTTTTGAGGAATAATTTTAATATTTTAAGTACACTTCATAATTTTATAAATGTCCAAAACCGAAAAAGAAGATAAATATATACAACAGCGTGGTGGAAAAATATGATTAATATGAAATTACGATTGTATTTAAGATTACCTGGATTGAAAATCAGTAATAAAAGGAGAAAATTATTTCAAGAGGACAATGATACTGCAGTTGATATTATTTAAAGGTGATATTGCTTATAAGTTGGTTTTCTCTTTACGACTCTGATACAATTTGTTTTCTTTGGTATCATACTAAGGTACACGTGTATGTATATATCGCGTGTAGATTTTCTTGTGTAAATAATTTATTAATATTTTATTTTATATGTAAAATATTTCATGGAAGACAATATGAAACAGATATAACTAATATATAATACATAATACCTTAATAAACATAAAGTAAAGAGTTAATAGACAATAAATAAGTGAAATAAACGCGAGGAAATAAGTAATGTAATTTGCTGCGAATATTTTCCTCTTAGTTTTAACTGTGTAAGGATTATATGATTAGCAGAATTATTTATGTAACATATTTTGGTATATAAATAATATCTTTTTCAGAATGTCCACACATTGAATTTGAGAAAAAAATATTGCGTACTGGAATTCATCTCTTGTTCATGAACCCAGTTTTCTATTTGCTAATTCGACGATTGAGAGAGTTCCAGCTGTTTGTGTAGTCAATCTTCAAGTGACCATACGTGTTTAAATCAATATGCGGCGGTGGCATCGTCTCTATCATGTATCTGTCGTCGTAAATCGCATGTGATAAGTTTCTTTCTTCTTGCGGCGGGACTCTAGAAATTTCTAAAAGGAAAGATTCATCACGTAAATCAATAGTTACTCGCGTGATCGCAGAACGTGCTATTAATAAAATTATATGAACTAAATCATATGTGCTGTCGTTTCACGGGTCGTGACGCATCAGTTATTGGGAAGTATTCACTGAAAATTTACGGTAGACAGGACGATGAGAAGTCGTGAATATATTTTTACGGCCCCTTTCCGTCAAACCGCGCCGTAACTCACGGCTCCAGTCATTGTGATATACTTGAGGTAAATTGTTGCACGCGTTAACGCCGAGTTTCGCGCATGATTTAATATCTGGAGGAGAAAGTCTCTGTGCGGGACATCGCGCTCGAAATTACAATTACGCGGTGAAGATCGATTCGTATGATGCATCGTGCACGAACGCATCGCGCGAATGCTCGCGACAGCGTGTCGACATAAAGACTGCATCACATCGTGTAACGACAGCACGTAAAAACTTTCTAACGCCGTGGACTAGAAACCGTTCGATTTCTCGCGGCGCATCGCGAATGGGAAACTGTGGAAAACGCGTCATTCGACCGTCACGTTCCGTTTTTCTTTTTTGGCAAGAGCCAGCGAAATTGAAAACCCGATAGATATCACGAGAAGAGTCGCTCTATTAAACAAATATTTCATAAATTTAATTTACCGCTTCAGTGATATTAGTATTGTTTATTTATTTAAATTAATCGCTAGAACATTTTCGTAGTATAGTCAATTTGTGTAACATAATTATTCTGAATATCTTTCATACTTGTATACTTTTATTCGCAGATTCTTTTTTTGGAAAAACAAAATTGGAAAATCCACCGTAGTAATGTTTTCTCTGAACGAGATGTTTTTAATCGCAAAGAATAGCGCGCTAACGGCATTAAGCGTTTTCCCAAGTGATTGCGTGTTTCATGAACATCTTATAGAGATGGGTCTTACCGAGCACGGGAGCGTAGACCGGAAGCGGCGCGGCGTAATCCATTCCCTCGTCCTCGTAGATAGCTTGCTGATAATAGCAGCCATTGTTTGTTGGCCTAACTGGTCCGCGGTATAATTCCTGCGCATACGGAGAACCATCGTACTCAGGCTCTCTCGGTGAGGACGCGTACCTGGAAAATTTCGGGAATCAATTAGCTGAGAGAACTTGCAAAATCCGATTTTGAGATCGCTCCATTGTAAAACACAGGGATTCAATCGGTGATATAATTTACTTTTTCCCAGAATTTGACGCAACCGATTTGCACAACGTGTTCTCGGAAGTTCTTCGATCTGTAAATTAAAATTTCGCAAAGTTAAACTTTCATTCGTAAGGGTGCGATATTCCCAATAACAGAATTCTGTCGTCGCGGTTGGCGTTTCACCGCCAAGATCTGACTGTGCAAAGTTGAGAGAATTCCTCTACAGAACAAGTTTCCGTCGAAACTCCTCATAATTCGCCTGTACTTGTGCACGCAATTTTGCATACTATTGCCGGAACTTCTCATGTGTTATTACCAATATTCCGAGCGTGCTCGCGGTGCATCGCGGAAGGAACGTTCATGCGTGGGAGGCCGTCGCGTACGGCGTGGCACGTCGGCGACGCTGTGCCGACGTAGATAAGCATAGTTCTCCAGGTCCCACGGGTCCACGTAATGCCGGCCGCCGCCGCTTCCGGAACTGCCGGAGGTCGATCTTCGAGAGTCGACCGAACTCCAATAGATTGACGTTTCTGCCGGCATCCTCCAGTTTTCTTTTACCACGGGATGCAAACCTTGAGGAAAATGTCATTGAACTCTTTCACAATGTTTATTAATATTTTCGTATGTAATATTTAATCACTTGTCACTCAAACTTATCTATCGGAAGTTTTAGAGATAGATGCAATATTAAGCGAAATAAAACAAACAATCCAGATAATGTTTTCGAAAACAGGAAGATTATGTGTATTCTTTTAAAAATTATTATTTTTATCGCTTAGAGATTTTTTAATAAATCCAAAACGGATCTCCTATTTTTTTAAATATTTTCCTACGCACTAATCCGAAAGATCTTACTTGTCCCGTTCAGGAGATTCTTTCTTGACCCCTTCCTTTCTTTTTCTATAGTTTTCAAGTGAAATCCTCTGAAGAAAAAGCATTTGTATGTATTTAATATATTCACATATTTCATAAATTCCACTTACACTTGGAATGTATATTAATGAGTTACTTACATATGTGTAACACCTTTACTTATATCGGTCACTTTTCCACTTTCTCAATCGTAAAAACTCATTTTTATATTTTTCACGCGTCTCTTCAAATAGTTACACTTAATTCATTTGTTATCTTTCGTTATTTATATTTTTATTAATTAATTGTGTAATAAATGCGTCACGACTTTATCACACCCTTGATAGCGCGTCGTTGTTACGATTTGAATCAACCGAATAAATTCAGCAGGGCATTACGCTTCTTTCTCGCATTCTTCGTCCTTTCGCACAGCGTGCAGAAGTACGTTACGTACACCCCGACTGCAGTTTTGCTTCTGCTGCCTCCGCAGAAGTTGAAACCTTTTTCCACGGCGCTCCTCTTCTCCCGGTGAAACCTCGGAGAGACTTTCACGTCTGCGCGCGAATCCACGTGGCTAATCAACACATTTTGAATATCCCATGACGAATGCTGCATCGAGCGGAACCAACACGGCGTACATACGCGCTGCTACCCGCGAGGATGCGCTCCACTTTCGAGAGCAGGTTTAGAAGATTTCGATTCGGACGAAGGATTCAGGGACTAGGTGTCATCATTTTTCGCATGTTCTTTCAAGTGTACAACAACTTTGCTGCAGTTCATTATTTATTAATATTATTTGCTCATTCATTTCAAACAAAAAGGCGCCCTAAAGACAAAAGAATGAGTATAAGTAGAAGGTAAGCTTAAATAATAAAAAATTACGCTAACAATTATGTACACTCTCTCGTTCAGTTTACATAGTAAAATAACTTTCTTTCTTTATTTCCCTCTTTTTCAATATTTCTCGACGGAGAATATATGAAGAAAAACTATGTCATGATAATACAGTTCAAATCTTCTAATCCTTACCTGGACTTACGGTGACATCACATTTATGTGGTTTTTCTTTCTCACATATTCAATATAATTTCATTTGTATCAATAATAATAATTATTAAACCACTTTTCACCTTCCAGTTCATAGTCTTCTATATCTTTAGGTTTTTAAGTATATCCCTATCGCATTTAAAGTCTTAATTTTTCAGTTCTAAGAAATTCTTAGACCTATACTTTTTAAATCTTTGTATTCTTGAATTCGGAAACTTCGAATTAATAACTTTTAATTTTCACATTATAAGATTCTAGGTTTCTTCAGGTTTTTAGAATTTTTGACTCTAATTTTTAAAAAGTTCTCTTTCACTTTTGAGTTTGAAAGTTTCTGGGTTTTAATTTTTGAGTTTTAACTTCTGCACTATATGTGTACATTGTACACATACGCACATATATAGAATATATTTATAATATTTGATATATATATATGTGTGTACATACATATATATATTATATTATATATCGAGTATTTACTATATATATATATGTATATATATATATATATAACTTATTAATCTCAAAACTTTCCTGTCCATAACGCTATTTGTCGTCATAAATAATTTGCTGCTTTTTTATCGTAACAGCGCTAACAAAATCCATTAATAGGATCGTAATCGTAAATCCAGATAGAGATCAACATATCACATATCACAGTTTCAGATTTACGTTAATTACGTCTTACAAGTGATGTAACACTGGCAATATTTCCCCATTAATATCGCCTATCAATTATTATGCGTAATAGCTGCTTTACTTCATTTAACAGCGAACATTGATTACTATTAATGCTAAATTGTGGTGTAGATTGGAATGCAAATTTCGCTAAAGAAAAATAAAAATAATTACTGGCAGAGTTTCACTTTCGAGCGAAATGGCTTCCGTTTGTTACTTTCCATTATTTATAAATAAATCGTATATATACGCATTCCGTAGTTTACAGCTAATGTCACAGGAAGTCTTAGGATGTGGAATTGATCACGGCTGTTCCTCATCTGGCTTGATCGAGTAGTAACGAAGCTGCCAGTTCTACATCGTATTCAGTCTGCTTCAAAGCGCTTTCACACTGTTGTCGAGTAGCCAAGCCCAACCTGAAATTATAACAGTATTCATATTAAAATACTACTTTATAAGTTTATTCTTCATAGCTGCACTAAGTTATGTATCTAAAATTACATAGATATATATTTAATACTTAGTGGAAGAAAAAACAGAAAAAATCACAAAATAATTCAGAACAAATACAACTATAAAAAAAATCTTATAATTAACAAAGTTCTAAAAAAACGCGACATTTAACTTTTTACAAAGCAAAATAAAATAAACTATAATCATTTTGTCTATTTCCCAAAAAGAGAAAAATCGTTATGTATATCAACTTTATACTAACAAATATAAGAATGCATTATCTCATAAAAGACAGCTATAAACTGAATAATAATCAGTATCACTGACACAGTTTGTAATACGTTAAGGCTATAAGTAATCTCGTGAGTTCAATAAGATAGAAGAAAGTGACTGTTTAGAATCGCTCTACGGAATTCGCAAGATGACTTACCTTACGAGACTTTCGACCTTCGCTTGCCTATCCTTTATGATCTGCTTGGCCGCTTGATTCGTATCCCAACCAGTTGCCTGTAACGCGGCTAGAACCTCTTGCTGCGAAGCGTCCGCAGCTTCTCTCTGCACTCTCATGACTTTGCTTGCTCTAAATTCGTCATTCAACGACATCACCAATTGCTGTGAAGCTGCGGTGAGTGGAGGACTGGTGCCGACCGGATGTTGCTGATGTTGATTAGTCACCTGCGAGTTCACCTTGACAGCATCGCTCGTTGCTACTGGTCCAGATGTACTTCTAATCGACGTTTCGATTTGTAGCAAATTGGGCTGTCCACTGATCAGGTTGCACTTTGCTGGGGGACAGTGATTCTGCACATAACCATTCTGATCGGATTTGAATGAGCTCAACGTCGGAGCAGGCGGGGGATTGTAAATCGGCGGCTGTTTCAAATAAGGGCTGAAGTCACAAAAATGTCCTTGAATAGGTTGCTGATTTCTGCCAATAGCCTTCTGCTGCTGCTGTTGAGTGCCAACCATTTCTTGAGCGTGAGTTTGGTTCGTCTCACTGCACAGATTGTTGGAATAGTAGTTTCGGAGAATGTTCTGCTGGACAGTCTTGTTGTAGAGAGTATTAAACTCGTTCTGAGATAATTGCTCTAAATTAGGTACCTGTGAAAAATATTCCGAATATTAGTAAATATTAGCTAGTTTTAAATATCAGGTTATTCCACAAATAATTTTTACTTTAGTAAATTTTAATTTGAAAAAAATATATATTTCTTTTTTTGTAACATATTAAAAAAATATTAGTGAGATAATCGGTTTTACATACGGCTTGTTTCAACTCGGCGTATACTTGTTCATATAAAAGCCCAGTAGACTTTGTATGTTGCTGTTGCTGCAAATCGTTTTGTATGTGGATGATTCCATGAGTGTTGCTCATGTTGGGCGACATCGACGCGTTCGGAAGATAGTTTTGATGCATAGTAAAGAAGCTACCCTGATTGCTAGTTGTCGGAGCATTTCCCAAATAGTTATGACCTAACGATGAGCAAGCTTGCACCTGGTTGGAAGAAGCCTTGGAAATATTGCAAGGTCCGTATTGAGATTCGTTCGACGTCGCAGTGGAAACATGACTGGTGCTTGTTTGGAGCAGGTTGAAGTTGCCGATATTCGCCGATGTGTTATGAAGATAATTTTGGCTAGTTGACGAATAGGCTTGAGTCTGATTGTAGTTGGCTTTGGAAACATTGGCTGTATTGCCGTATTGTAATTCATTTGTACTGTTAGCAGAAACGTTACCGGTAACAATCTGCAGCATATTGAAAGCATCTTGGCTAGTGCTCGACGAACTTAAATTTGTAGAAAGATAATTCGGAGTGTTCGATGAGCAAGCTTGTGCTTGATTAAAGGTGGCCTTGGCGACATTGCAAGGACCATGTCGAACTTCATTGGCACTATCATTAGAAATAGAGTCGCTAGCAACTTCTTGGAGCAGATTAACGCTTGCCTGAGTCACAACGGGCGTCAACGTTTGACGCCCAGCACTCAGGTCAGTCGAGCAAACGTTCTGTTGAGGCAGGATCTGCGTCTGCTGCCAGATTTGTCCCACCATCGCATCAGTAGTCGATTCTAAGACGCGTTGATCACTTTGCTGGACGGGCGGTCGTTGGACGTTCGTACTTTTTGGCTGCCAGGAGTTCTGTACCTTGCTAGGTAGGGTCGACGACGAGGAAGATGCTCCTCGGTGATCCATCATCGCCACCGGCGACTTCGGTTTTGAAACCTGCGGTGGAGGTTTCAATGCTGGTATCACCGACGAAGAAGACGATCTGGCGGTGTCCTCCACCGCTGACGGTGAAAGCTGAGCCGGTGATCCTTGCCGCAATTTGTCTAGCGACGAATAGCGAAGATAATTCGCGCAAGACGCCTCGTCTTGGCTCTCCCCGCTGGCGTTTGTGTTTTTGCTGGCCTCTTTCTCACCCAGATGTTTCTCCAGCTCGGCCAAGAGGACCGGGTCTAGTTTCTTCGTGACATTAATAGCACCGGACTTGGAACTCAGTGACAGCTCGTTCATACTCTGCGCGAGCTCACAATTGGATTTCGGCTTTGGCGGACTGACGTTTGGACCAATGGAAGGAGGAGGAGGAGGAGGCGGAATAGGAACCGTGACGAGCGATGACGAGGGTAAGACTGCGTTGATGGAGACGTTAGCATACGTCTGTGCACTAGTGGAATTCCGTAGGTCCTCTGGCCACGTAGACCAATTCGGACTGGCTTTGTCAATCTCGCTGTAATGACTCGCAGCCTCGTCACTCTCCACATTCACGTTTAGATTCACTGCATCCTGCTGACTGTCCTTGTTCAGATTCACCGAATATTGGCGAATCTCCTGAAACCGACAAGATAAATATATAAATTAGAATTTCTAAATAATAATATTGTAATAATCTTTAATTTAGGTTTAGTTTAAAAACGTCGGTTTTATTTATTATTTTTTCTAATGCAAAATTCATAGACAACCATAACACATAACACATTCCTTACGATAAAGTGGTAAACTATGACTAAAGATTATTGAGAGATCAAAAGTGTATTAATTATAAAAATATCTGATTATCAAATAGTCGATTAATAATACAGAGAGAATTATTGAGCGAGTGTATTAATTAATAATAGTTGACTATCGAACGTAATGTTGGACTTGATAGTTAAACAATTAGTTCGACAGAGGAAACGCATAAAGAATTTTCAGAATACGCAAACATACCTCCGTTCCATCCGAATTAGCGACAAAAGAATTCGCGGCACTTTGACTATCCGACGCTTCCTGGTCGTCCACGTTGCTGTATGTCTGCCTTTGCAGATAGCGACTAGTATCGGTAGGTACAGGACTATAGTATCGCGAATGCGGAGGCTTCATGAACACTGCGGACGTGTCGAATGGGTCAGAGTACGCAGGATCCACGTTGGGGAAGTTGGCATACGTCCTGGTGCCTTTTTCATTTTGCCAAGAGAATCTCTCAGCTTCTATTGGCTCGTCCAGAATATTAATCACTCGTCTACACGCGACGTCCTGCTCGAGAGTACCTGTATTTGCTAATTCCTCAGCGGACAGATCGATCAAGGTACCTTCTTGGCTACTTGCCGAGGCGGACGCTGCTTGAGCAACCTTGACGGGACTCGATCTGGCGTCGTTGCGTAATTTGGTATAATTGAATTGCTTTCTAGCGCGTTGCGTACCGCATGAAAATCGCTTCTTCGATTGGTTCTCCGCACCTGAAGCTACCAATATGTCCGGAGGATCCATAGGGTTTCTCAGGTACACATCGTCAATAAACGAAGGACTACCCCAGCTCTTTCCAAAGGGCGCCCCGTGGCCTGTATGAATAAATGAATTCTCTAATGGTTTGCTAATATCTTCCGGTTGTTTCCGGCGCATTGGATCTACTAGGCAACGCGGGAAATGCGCCACTTGGAAAGTTCGCTGGTTTTGGCCTTTCCACCAGTAATTTTCTGAGCGTCCATCGATGATAACGATTTGATCGCTCGGCTCAATAGACATTTTGCCAGCCTCCTCGAAGGCACTCACGGCTTTCATTACGGCTGGCATCATGCCGGTCAACGATTCCTTCAACGAGGCGAACGTCGGTCGCTCTGAAGGTTCCCTTGACCAGCAACGAAGCATCAGCTCATATACAAACGGTGGCGTCGCTTCCGGCTCGTGAAGTCGCTCGCCTTCCCGGTCGATCTTTCGCAATATTTCAGAACCGTTTAAACCTAGCCAAGGTTCCTCTCCGAAGGTCAACATTTCCCACAATGTTACACCAAACATCCAAACGTCTGATGCGTGGCTGAACTGCCGAGCCTTGAGAGATTCAGGTGCGCACCAAGGGAAAGGTACCTGAACAGAGATCAATCAATTCATCAGTTGCATACATAATGCCTCACACATACATAACACATACTTGCATACATAATGCTTCTAGCAGATATATTAATCAGTCGAATAACAGATATTTATGGAAAAAAAGAAGTTACCTTCTTATGTTCAGTCATAACATAGCAGTCCTCTTGTTGAGGAAGTGCTCTCATCAGTCCGAAATCTCCGATTTTGATTTTGTCGACAGTACTTAATAAAACGTTTCTGCACGCCAGGTCACGATGTAGAAAACGTTTCGCTTCTAAATATGCCATACCTGTGGCAACTTGCAGCGCATAGTTGCAAAGTGTAAGGACTGAGATTCTGCTGCACTGTTGGCGCAAATAATCGAGTAACGCACCCAGAGGTGCAAGCTCGGTCACCATCATCATTGGTTGTGATAACACCACACCATACAATCTATAAATCAAGAGAAATCAATTTAATTAATCCTTCTATTAATTATTTTGCAATCAATAACATGTAGGATTATCAAGAATTATCAAGAAGAATATGTATGATTAGCAATAGTCACAAATTGTTAACACTAAGGGCGATATTCATACTCAGATCTTATGTTTAAAACTATCTCAAATTCATCTTTAGATGCTGTACGGATTATACGGACCGTTTCATTGGTTATAAAGTATTTAAAGATAAACTTAAGATGATTTTAAATATAAGACTTGACTATAAATACCGTCCTAAGTAATGTTGAGACCAAACATTTTTGGTGGCAAATTTAAAGAGAGAAACAAAGAAGTGTTAAGATTTTATGGACTTTCTTTAACACGTTGACTGCCACGGCAATTTTCAGGATTCCTATCTCAGAACTCAATTTGATTTAATCATATGGACAGACCATGAAAGAACTACGAAATAAATCGTAGTCGGCGCCCTAGCCAAGAAAGTCAACTATGATTTATCTCGTAGTTGGCAGTCAACATATCAAGGAGAGAAACAAAGAATTGTTAAGATTTTATAGACTTTCTTTCCTTTATGTGGAAGAACACACCGAATGAGATTATGATGATCCAAAGTGTGCATCGCTTGCACCTCCGAGACGAAATCCTCTATAACGTTTGGCTGTGTCAGAGCGTCTGCCTTGAGAACTTTTACAGCGACAGGAAAGACCCGTCCCGAAGGAGAGGTCCATTCGCCTCTTCTGACCACACCAAAGCTACCATCGCCCAGTTTGATCGATAGAGTTACATCCTTTTCTTGTATAAGACACGTCAACACTGAGGAAGTCTCGATGGGCTGCGAGGATCGTTTATTGCTCTTAGTACTGCCGCCAGGCCTGATTTTAGTGATCAGACTTTTCTTCCATTGAGTACTGCGTCTCTTTTTGACTGCATCCAACAAACGCCTGACACCAGGCTTTCCGAGACCGATCTTTTCCAAATCCTCGTGTTGAACGTAATCAAAATGATGTAGGCGAGTGACCTGCAGATCGTCCCGAATTCTCGTGAAAAACTGAGAGAGTTGCACATCGTGCAGCAGCTCTTGAAGCCACTCTGTCCCTTCGTCCTCTGCCATGATAACTATGGCTCGTTTGTTTGATGAGATGTATACAACACCCTGAAAATATACAAGTTTAAATTATTTGAAAAGAATGTGCGTATAAAATTTTGTTTAATATTTTTTATTGGGATTTCTCCAATATCCTATATTCTTGAAGAGTAACGATATAGACTGAACTTCTTTTTTATCTATAAAAGAGGCTTATAAGTCACTTTTATCGATAAAAGTTCAGAATATGGGCCATAATAAAGAATAATGACGATATAATGAAGAGTGGCGGTAAAAAAATATGGAGTCACAAAATAGAAAAATCTATATTTAAGCACACACACACACACACACATATATATACACACATACATAGTGTCTCTATTTAGTATTAAAAAATAAGTCTACAAACATAATCTCATCTTTGTTATTTATTGAATATGAAATAAAAAATAATACTTATGTTACACTGTTTTGATGCTTATTACAAAATGGTATGTGCTTAGTGAGTCTATTTTTTCACTTTCTATTATTGCTAATCAACAAGATCATACTGGTTCTTACTTCCTGCAATTCTTATAAGTATGACAACAATTAATCCAGCAATTAAATCTCTTGCATGACTCTTGATTTCTCTACTCCTACCCCTTCTCAAGTTCTTTATTGCAAAATACATCTCATAAAAATAACAGCTAGACGACACGAGTCTACTGGATTTTTTTTTTCATTCTCCTTCGTCTAGAAAGAATCCGTGCAAGAAAATTTGTACCTTGGATAAAGCTGTCGCCGTCGATGCCTCCAGTGAAGTTTATCACGAGATGTTTCCTAAAATGCCGCTCACTTCATGGCGTTTGAGAGTAGTGGCGGCGCCGGCCTTCGCTTTGTCGGAATTCCCAACGGCGCGCACTTTCACCGGGCGATTTTCCAGCACGATGCATCGTCTGGCAGTCGCCTCCTAACCTAACAAACACCAGCAACCGCAGCTGGAAACCTGGCCGATCCTGTAAGTGCAATTGCGTGAACGCTGATTATGTCGCGGCCGAATTCGCGTAGGAGGAGATCGTGTCCGCCAGACTCTGGGACGACACCAGACGATACGCGCACAACGCACACGATAACCTGGTGGGGGAGCCAAACGAAAAGGTGACCGAAATTGAATGAATTTCACCGCGATATTCCATGCAAGATGGAGTGCAAGTCGCTCAAGTTATTCGCGAGAGTTGTACAGAGGGCAGCTCCCAAACAACTCGGTCGATATGCAACCGATGCGAATTAGAATCGCACACGCCAAAACGATGTCGGAGGAATCCTTTGCAGGTATAACATTTTATTACAAAATTCGCATATAATTAACACTCGTTAATTATTATTTAATTAATATAACATAATGTAATATAATTAACATTGTATAAACTCCATTTACATAAGCGTACTGTCTAATATTGATAACTGTTATTAGGATGATGAATAGAATGACGATGAAGATATAGAAATACTAAATTTTATCGGAGATAAGACGATAAAGGCTAGACAGCAAGTTATTTTCGGGCAAATTCTAGCGCGGTCCTATGCACATGCGAATCATCGTTGATTCTTTTTATTGTCAAGTTTCTACGTCGGGAAGATTTCGTTTATTTCACAGTATCCTTGAGCACGGTCTTTCATCAACCCCTAAGTAGCTTCGCGCCGCCGCCGCTACGTGTCGTATCTCGAGCCGCTATTGCGCTGCATTGCAGCATCGACCAGTTTTTTTTTTTTTTTCCCTCGACCTCGCACCCCCACACCTTCTTCACATCTTTGCAAGGCGTGCTCCTGCTCACTCCTGCACCCTCTTGCGACCCGTTTCTCACCCCTCGTCGGAATCGCGCGCGCTGCTGCTGCTGTGGTAGCGGTGGTGGTGGTGGTGGTAGTGGTGGCTTCGATCGACACCTCCGACAGTTTTTCGCAGGACGCTTGTTGCTTCTATACTACGAGCGAATGTGAACTCGCCCTACTTGTGTTTTTTTTTGCACGCGCCTACGCCACCGACGAAGGATTCAGTCGGAGTCCTCTCGGGAACCCTTTCGCGTTTTGATTACTTCGATGGATATTGCTCGTTTTCTCGTTGCGGTGAACAAAACACAGTGATATCGGTGTAATCCTCAATGAATGTTTCTCCGATGTTAATTAATTGAGGTATTGAGAATTAATTGAGGTACATTGTGTTTAAACGCTGAAACTGTAATAGTTGTTCCTATGTCGGAGATCTTGATTCTTTTCTGACAATCAGTGTAGCGGATTTATCTGAAATTTATAGGAATTGATTTAATTAACACAATCTTTTAATCTATATTTACTGTTATTATGTTTTTTTTATATATATTAGTTTTTTGTATGTCTATCATCATAATATAATTATAGCAGATAATCGGTGTTTACGATACATAAAAAATTACGCATTTTGAATCACTGGTTATAGAAGCTACGACGAATTATGCAAAATAAGGAAAATGACACTATTTTCACGTCGTGGCATAAATAATTTTACAAATTATAGGTGATGGAAACTTAGAATTTAGGTATATAAAATAATTCCGTGAATTAAGTTTCCACAGCGTGAGTGAGTAATAAACCTTTTTTACCTGATCAATTTTAATTAACTATTTGCTGACATTGTTCCAACAGACTTTTCATTTGCGACACCAAGACCGTGGGTGCGAATATCGAAAATTAAAAATAGAAATAAATAAGAAGAGAGAAACGCGATTTTTGCGACACATTTCCTAATATATAAGCTTCGTATTAATATATAAGCGGCTAAACCAGATTATTATTATTATTATCTTATACGAAAGTTTACCACGCACGAAAGAATCCCGGCACGCAATTTCAAGGTTCCCGATATTCGCTTGAAGAGGACCTTCGCTTGCCCCCCCCGACGATGATCGACCGGCGTCCTTATAGGCGCGCGAACACGCCGCGAAACTCGGCTCTCTCGCAGGATCGCGGCACGTTCGCGCCCGCGTCACCGTCGTAACCTGCGACTGACAGCTCAAATTCATGCTAAAAGGAATAGTACCTGCGCGCGCGACTTTCGTGTACGCGAGCCCGGGAACACCTTCCCGTCTTCTCCGCTCCTCATAAAAACCTCACGAAGAGTCGCCGCGCACTACGACCAACTGTCGCTTCTCTCGATGAGCGAGAGTTACCCACCACCGTTGAGCGGGCGTCCTGCGGAGGATCAGGTCGGCGAGGATGAAGTCGGAGGGAAACAATGGATATCTGCGAACCACCGTCGTCACCGAGCCATCGTCAGGCGACTTGCCTGCAGAGCCGGGATCAGCTGGTCAAGACACTACGCCCATTGCGAATTCTCTTCAGGTATGAACGTGCGCAACTCCGCGGCGATTAAACCAGTTTCGTCCTCGAAGAGGATCGGCATGACACCCTCCGTAATGCCAAGCTGTAAACAATGACTTTTATATAACTTATATGTAAATTCTATACATCTTCTACGTATAGCTTCTCGTTATTGCCAAATTTTATTAAACTATTTGCTATTATTAGGACGAAGATCGGCATGACACTCTTCGAGATGCGAAGTTATATACAAAGACTTTTATGTAATTTACATATAAATTTACATATATCTTCTATGTAGCTTCTCGTTATTATATTATACTAAATTTTTGCTGTTATTGAGACACTTCTCTTTTCTTCATTTCTATCTGTTATGACGAAATATGTGACTATATGCGTGATCCATTCGCGTTGCTATGTCCTACGTTTATTACCAATTTAGGTAACTTACGGTCCACGCGGAGGAATTACCACAACCGTGCTCCAACCTCCAACTAGGCCACGGAGACCAGTAGGTGTGACACGTGCCACTTCGATTACACGAAGACGAAGAGGACCGGCGAGTAGGCAACGTCTGTTGGGCGTGTTGGCCATTGCTCTGTTGGCCACTTGCCTCTTCATACTTTTACTACTGGCGTTAAACACCACTCGTGAATGCGTTCGAGAGCCTTGTGAGTTTTAGCTGTGCATCATCTGCATCATAAACTATTGCATATACTTTGTGAATCGTGTTTTCTACTTCTTTTTTTTCTTTTCTTTTTCAATATAGATGTTTGTCTTTTATTAAGGTAAAACCGAGAATTGAAATAAACGTATAAAGATATAGAATCTTACAAAATTGAATAATCTTATAAAATTGAATAATTTATGAACATGAGAAAATAAAATTGAATAATTTAGAACATGAGAATTAAATTCAAATATTTTTTCTTTCTCTACTTTCAGATCAAGACGTTTGTATGTCGGAAGAATGCGTCAGAACAGGTAATTTCTTTTATATATTTTGTATATAAATTCTATTATTCATGTCTTAAAGATTTTTTTTCCAGTTAAAGTAAATTACATTATGACAATTATGACATTATGACAATTATATTAGAACTTTAAGTTTTTACTGATTTAACTCTTGTAAGTTATTACTCTTAATCGCGTGATATTAGTACGTTATATTTATATTATATGCCGCAAATAGATCAATAACTATGAACACACTAGTAACGCTACGAGAAAGACTACTTGGGATGAATAAAAAAGAGTATTCATTAATATATGTATAGCGGCGAGCTTATTGGCGGCAATGGATCGCACTGCGTCGCCTTGTGTCGATTTTTTCCAATACGCCTGTGGCACGTGGAATCGATTGCACGTGATACCGGAGGATAGGAGCTCCATTAGTACCTTTGAGGTCCTAGCCGATCAGTTGCAGGTGATCCTGAAGCGCATCCTCGAGGAACCGCCCAATGTAGACGACAATAATGCCACTCTCAAGGCGAAGATGTTTTACAAGTCGTGTATGGACATCCGTGGGTATAAACAATACACATAATAGCTCTTGCAGGATCGCGTTCTTTTTCAGTCGCAGTTCACGTCTCGAGGATTGATTTTGCTCTAATAATCAAGAAAGATATCTAGATCACAGCAAAATTGACAATCAGAATTTATTTTATTTTTTACTTTCTACTTGCTTTCAAAATTTTTATTTTACTATACTAATTTAACTAGATAGCACAAGATCTTTCATCAATTAATCAATTAATAGATTTGACTTCAGGTCAATAAATAATTCATCCTTGATATCTATCATTTTGTATCTCAGTGTTTTCTTACTAAAATAAATTTTAGACACGTGTAAAACACGTGTTTTGCATAATTTAAACAAACAACATTGACATAAATACGTAGCTCGCATACGAGAAATCGGAGACACCACTCTAAAGAACATCTTGGAGAGCCTTGGAGGATGGCCAGCGGTGGTGGGTACATCTTGGAAGCCACCGCCTTATTCCCTGGAGGTCCTTTTGGGTCGTATACGAGGCGAGTATAATGAAGGTGTGCTGATAGAGCAGTGGGTCGGCCCAGACGACAAGAACTCCTCGGCCAACATCCTGCAGGTGCGCCGGCAAAGTAAGGCCCATTGGTCGACGGCTGTACAACATGTCAACGTCGTAACATATTATCCTGCTGAAAATAAGGTCCACGCGACAAAGTTGAGGCCAGTGTCGAGAATTAAATTTACTTCTTGAACCTTCAGTTTGAACCCTGTAAATTATAAATTATTAATTAATGCGAGAAACACACACACATGAGAAAAATAACGTTTAATTGCAGATAAAGCAAATGCGCGGAATTAAGCGTGACGATAAATGTCTTACTTATTTTATATTGATAATCTAATTATTTGAACGGAAATTTTTCTTTTTAAAATTATACTGTAAAATTTCCTGTTCTAACTTGTTTCCGCGATACAAATCTAATCTGCAGATTTGATCAGTCTGATATCGACCTGAGTTGAAAGCAGCCTGTTGCTCAGCAGGATAACAGTCCCGTCGTTGTAGAATTACTATTGCAATTGTTTTAGAATGTTGTCTTATTACCGTTACGCTCTTAATACGTGTATGATATAATTTATATTATTATAATAATATTTTAATCTATCTACGCAGTTGGATCAGATGCAAATGGCGTTACCCGGTAGAGATTACTATCTGAAGAAAAGCAGCGAGCCCGAACTAAAAGCTTATCACAATTACATGACAAACGTCGCCGTGCTGATGGGAGCAAATCCCCGTTCGGCGGCCGAAGAGTTCGACCGGGTGATCGTTTTAGAGAAGCAACTTGCTAACGTACGTCGTGTGTTTGTGTTCGTCGCGATCTTTTGACAATCCGCTCTTTCTATGATCGCTGTTCCTGGCTTCAGATCTCATTACCAGAAGCGGATAGGCACGATACCTCGGCGATTTATCGGAAACTAACGTTGCACGAGTTGCAGCGGGAAGTGCCGGAGTTGCAGTGGCTTGTTTATTTGCAAAAGTTCATCAACGTGCCGATCAATGAGGAGGAGCCCGTCGTAGCGTACGCGATGCCGTACTTCGTGCAGATGGGTCGTATAATCTCGAAGACGGATCGCAGGTGAGGACAATACATTTTCAGACAATTTTCACACAAGAGAACTGTAGAAATTAGATTCTATAGATCTTCAAATTTTCGATTAGACGAATTGCATGATATGCAACCAAGCACGTATTCATATTGTTCGACGCGCCCAAAGATATTCACGAAGGGACAAATGTCATCGCATTAATTCAAAAGCAAATATATAAGATAGCATTACATGATTATGTATATGTTCGCAGGACTCTACATAATTATATTTTGTGGCGGCTCGTCATGTCGATTATGCCTCACATGATCGACGAGTACCAACAGAAGCGAATTGAGTTTCGCAAGATCCTATTGGGGATACTCAGCGAAAGGAATAGATGGTCGCAATGTGTCGAGTGGACCAATAAGAAACTTGGAATGGCAGTTGGAGCCCTTTTTATACGCGACAATTTTAATCACGAAAGTAAGGTGAGAGTATCCTTTGTTTCAGAGATATAGCGATGATTAAATTCATCGTTTTCGCTTTATAGATTAGAATTTCGTTCTCGAATTTGTTTTAGGAGACTGCTTTGGAAATGATACGAACGATTCGCGAGGCTTTTAACGAATTGTTGGCTGAAAATCATTGGATGGATGACGAAACTCGGATGGTGGCGAAGAAGAAGGCGGACTCAATGAACGAGCGAATCGGATATCCCGAGTTTCTTAAAGATCCACTCGAGCTCTCGTTGGAATACGTGATGGTAATGACATAATGTCATATTTCGATAGAATATTAAAGATAAGAATAATAAAGAATCGAAAAAATAATCTATTTTTCTCGCTTATTTGTTACCTTCGTCACACATTTAAAATTGATGATGATCAAATCTGCTGGACTTTGCTCGTTGTATATGAAGGATTGTTTTAGTTGAACATAACGGAAAATCACTTCTTGGAGAACATTCTTGCCGTATTGAAGTACGACGCTTACCATAATCTGCAAAAGCTGCGAATGCCGGTCGACAAGAACAAATGGTCAACCGAGCCGGCTGTGGTGAATGCTTTCTACAATCCTAATAAGAATGACATAGGTGAGAATATGTTAACAAAAGTAGTTAATTTTAATTACGCGACTTAAGGTATACAATAATTCAAGTATTCAAGAATTTTAACGCAAAAGATACTATATAAAAGATACTTCATATACGCTATACTATATTACTTAATTTAACGATAATAAGATACTAAAAATTTAACGATCTCATGAAAATTCGAGAAAGAAAGAAATCCTTGAGAATCCGAAAAAATTTTATGTTCTAGAAGAACATAAAAATTAAATAGCCCAAGGATCTAAAAGGGATTTAACAATCGTGTATATTATTTCTTTAATGATACTAACCGACATTAATCGCTGTTGTTATTATGGCATTTCAGTATTCCCTGCGGGAATTCTGCAGCCGCTTTTTTACTCCCAGCACTTTCCCAAGTCCTTGAATTACGGCGGTATTGGCGTAGTAATCGGTCACGAGATCACCCATGGCTTTGATGACAAGGGTCGCCAGTTTGATAAGGACGGCAACATGATGCAGTGGTGGAATAACGCTACTATCAGAGCATTTCGTAAGAGAGCGCAATGCATCGTGGATCAGTATTCCAAATATAAGTTGCAGGAAGTAAATCTGTACATCAATGGCAGGATGACCCAAGGAGAAAATATCGCGGATAATGGTGGTCTCAAGCAGTCTTTCAGGGTAATAATAAAAACACATTAGCAGACAATATCTTCCGAAATAATTTTCGATTTCAAGGATTCAGGATTCTGCAAATTTAAAAAGAAAAATTGATTAGGAAAAGAAATTCTGAGTATGATAATATCAAACTTTCAACATTTGTTTAAAACATTCATGGATTTCTTCCGTACGCGGATAAATTCCTCGTGTGTAAATCTTAAAATAAATGACGCAGATAAGTCAAATATGTGACGACTCTAAAATCTAAATAAATATGAAGATTGAAAAATACGACACAGATATATATTTTCACATATTTGGTAGAAAATAAACGCGGGAAATGCTAAAAATAATAATTTTACATGCAACAAAAATTTCATTTGACAGCGTAATTCTTTTTTTTATCGAACAGGCTTACAAAAAATGGGTTTCCATCCACGGCGAGGAGCCGTTGCTGCCAGGAGTGAACCTTACACACGATCAGCTATTCTTCCTCAACTACGCTCAGATTTGGTGCGGCTCCATGAGACCGGAAGACGCGCTGACCAAGATACGCAGCAGCGTGCACTCGCCGGGTCCGGTACGCGTGTTAGGTCCGCTGTCGAACAGCAAAGACTTCGCCAGGGCTTTCAACTGCCCGCCGAACTCGCCGATGAATCCCAAGAACAAGTGCAGCGTCTGGTAGTTCGTGTCCAGTGATATATAAGATATATCACGCCGATATAATCAAAATTATACAAGGAGGAAAAGGAGGTAGAGGTACCTGGAAGCTTAAAGTTTCAGGGTTTCGAGAAATCGAGAGGACCCGTATTCTCTGATTGTACGCACATTCAATGCTAAATAAGGCTATTTTTCGAACGCTGTCCTTCGATATAGGTTGAACGGGATTCGCGTAAGTAGCATGTTGAAATATCGAAAGAGCAAATTTAATTTCACACTTTGCGTCAAATGTGCGAACGTGCGGAATGAGAATGCGCGGGTCATAAATTAACAAAGAAAATAAAAAATTATAGATGTATGAAATCTATGATCCGAAGGATCCGTGGACCCTTTCATTATCCTTGCATATCACGATCTTGCTTGTTTTTATGTAATAAGCATCGAAATAAAAGTGATGTATGATTAACAGATGATTGTTATTTTTTCGGTCGCAATAGTGATAACTTAAAGGAATTTATATCTAACAATTAAAAACAATCTAACAGTGAATTTAATTTTTATCTTTTAGATAGCATAACGAAGCAAATAAAAAATAAATGTTACTCTATGAAGAATTATTTTGTTAAAAATATCAAAATAACATGGAGACAATAAAAAGCTGATGTCAGTGAAAATTGAATATGAAAGAATACACTGACGATAAAAAGATATTAACATTTCGAAGATATCTTTATTTCTTATTTTCCTCTTTTTTTTGTTTTTATATTTCATCATATCATCACTTATATTATTATAGCCAGCTATAGTTGCAAATTTACATCGTTTAAGCTTCTGCGAATAACGATAAAACGAAGCGGATACATTTTGCCTGAAAAGATAAATTCTAATTTGCCTAATTGAACAATTCTCCTAAACACATACCTAAACGAAAAAACACCTGTAGCTCGCGCAACGCATATCGTTCTTACAAAAGTCCTGCAGTAATTTACGCAGAATCTCAAGTTCTTCAAATCCTTGAATCTCTTGTATATTTCTCTCTTCTTTTAGAAAATATCTATAAATTTTTTAAGAGTTCGAAAATGAATTGTGAGAATGGAAAACATCTCTAAAGATCCAGGATCCAAATAAGATATTTTCCAAGAGATTTTCGAATTAATATAGGATATATGAAAATGATACCTGGTTTCAAAATTCACTGTTACTATCTCTATTACCCTGTGTAATCCCTTTGATTCCACAACTTCTTCGATGTATTTCAATTCAACCATTTTAATATTTTCATATAACCTAAAACGCAAATATATGTATATATATATATATTATATATATATTGGACAATAAATCTCGTTCGAAGAGAGAGAGAGAGAAAGGGAAAGAAGAATTTAAAGAATGAGATCTATGTAAATAACAATTTCGCTTTCGTGCATGAAGTATTTGTGCTTTCGGAATTTAAGGATCTTTTTGATATTTTTAGATCCTTCAATTTTCTTTTCAATTTTTCGCACTTTCAATAACTTTCATTATGCCATTAGATCTTTTCTTAGAACCCGTGAATCCTTCGATTCTCGGATCTTTGCGTAACGTCTGTAACCGTAATCATCCTGAATATTTCAGATCCTTGCAAAGCTTTTACAACAAACCTAATTGTTCATATATTATTTATCGACTTTAACATTGAAACACTTCGCAGTTACTCGCAGCGGAACTTTATAATTCGTTATGTCACTTCTTTGTACTCTCTGCATCATATTATATCAGGATCACGGTCAGGATCACTTACGCCGGATCGCCGATTTTCTCACCTATATACATCTTTCTAACAACAATCACCACTGTCACAGCTTCGTTCGCACCTTAAATAATAAATTATATCTGAAATAAATAATATCGTTGTGAGTACGTATTTTACAATGCGAAACAGAATTCATTTACAATATATACAATTAATAGAATATAATCCGTTTATACATATCTCTACGCGCTCATCTGTACGAATGGCACGCAAAATAATAATAAATAAATCCTAACAATTAATTAGCTCTACAGCAAATAATTACAATTTATTTTTCTCGCGCTTAGGTGCAATAAGAATAATTAACATACGATCTTTTCGATATTGATGTTACTAAATATCTGATTAATAACATCGGGTGATCAATTGATATTATTTCTAGACCCTCATTGACATGCATTATATGAACCTATTTCTCATTTATATTTTCTTTTTATACCTTATCTAATGTTTCTATTAAATTTGTTTACCCACTGACACGAGAAGATATTGTTACAATAAATCGCATCAATAATTTTTATATCCGCTTCCTTTCCACGACATGTCTTCAATCTATTTTTTTCAGAACATTATTATTGTTTATACAAGATATCTTAAAAAGATATCATACAATACATAGCAAAGGTGCTTGATGATTAATTTACTAAGCAAAAGATTGGTCCGTATTTAATTTATTTACTTAATTGGACGATTATGTAAATATGATATCGAAATCGCTCAATATATATATATATATAACGCTACTACTTATAGCCTTTACTTATAGAAATTAATTTTTCATTTTATACCTTGATACCATTAGAAAAAGTAAAAAATAACCAAATCTTCAAAATAGCAGAAAATAAAAGTCTCAAATTAATATTCACTCATTTTCATCACTTACAGTTTAACAGTCGAATTGCATATGTCTTAAAATGTGATTAGCTATATATATATATATATGTATATATATCTTTTTGAAATATCTTGTATACTCTCTAGTGAGACGAATATAGTTTAATTTTCAAATACATTTTCTTAAATGCGTTATTATTTGTATGGAAGATCGACGGTAATATTTTACAATATATAAGAATGCTCTCTACGCGAGTTATCATCGATCACTATTTTTATAAGGCTTGTCCCCACTTGGTTCTGCCTCCATTTCTAAAACGGCTAACAATATTGCATACTTTAATTTTCGCAATTTTGTGTATTTTATTAAAAGCTAAATTAACATTATATTACCATTTCGGAACTATTTATAAACCTGTAATATTTGGTATAAATAATGAAAAAATGAAACCAGAGATCGCAAGTGGATCGTAATTTTTTTTTAGTGAATTCAAATGTGTATAATCGGGGTTCCATCTAATAATGGGATTTTCCATCTTGAAAAACTATTGAGACACAAGAGAATCAATGGAAAGGATTTATACGAGTAAGCAGCCAAAGATTTTGCTTTTAAGAATCTTTGTAATATTAAGGATATATAATGTTAAAGACTTATGATATCAAGAATTCGCATAATGAAGCACATCGGAGTCCAAGGATATGTAAAAGCGAAGTATATCTATGAATATTTATTTATTTAAGAATTCATGTTATAAAGTATCATATTCATCATCATTTATGGTATGAAGGATTTAAATTTGCTAGTGACAATCTTGGAAATCAAAGATTTGCGGGATAAAAGTACAGATTTTTGTAAAAAGTCAGTTTTATGGAAACATTATGGAGTCTTCGTATCTTGAATTTTCCTAACACGTACAGAGTCCTTAATTGTTTAGATTATTCACACAAACTGAATTTTTACATTTCCGGCCTTTAATTTTTCTTTGATTTCTTAGATTCTGAATTCTTCACATATTTAGAACGTTATATTGTTCAATTCGTAAATCTTCAAATCCTTATATCCCAAAATTTTTACTTTAGGTTTACATTCTCAAAACACGTAAGCTTTTAAATTCTTACATATCCTTAGATCTTTAGATATTTGAAGTTTTAGATGTGCATTATTTTATATTAAATGAATCTTTAAGTATAATTCTTAAGTCTTTAGCTGCTTGGATCTTAAGTTCTTTGGTACTTTGATCATGAAGATATCATGATAAATTATATAAATAACAAATAATAAATATAACGAGAAACGACAAAAAATCATATAAATAGATAAATTATACGTAATTCCATAAATTTTTGTCTATCCAAGATCAACATTGTTTGAGACAAATAAAAATATTCTGAGAATTCTAGTGCTAATAAATAACATACTAAATCACAAAAGTTATTCAAATAAAATATGGACATGCAAGATACAGTACAATCTAATTGAAAAATTAATATTATACCTCGCGCATTGGTACACTTGTCTATTAGAAAATAATACAATGCTCTTTCTAAAAAATGTTTTTAACTGATGCGCAAAGAAGTTGGTCATCTGAAATTTACAAATTCACAGATTTTTAAGTCTTTGGATTTGTAACTATCGAAGTTTTTAATCTTATAGATTTTTCACATTCTGATATAGAAGGGTTTATAATAAAAAAAAAACTTTCCTGTACAAAAGTCAAAGACATTTGGAAGTAGAGCATTAAATATCTTACAAAAGCAACAGTCTTTAGATTTTGGAACTTTGACGGATTTGTGAATATATAAAGAAAATAAAAAGAGAAAATAAAGATTTTAGCTCGAAATAAATATTACAACGCGTAAAGCAAATCGTTTATAAATAATCAGTTTGAATTATTCATTGAAATTGATACAATTTTGCAGAGTTCAAATTTGAATATAAAGAAGACAAACAGGATCACTAATATGTTCATTTGTAGACAACTAAAATATATCTATTGACACAATACATTTCTTTGTTTATCTTTGCTAATGAGGATTAAACCCAACGGAATTATATCGATTTCAATCTTTGATTCGCGCTATGTACCGCATCTTACACATATCCACTTTTCATATGAATATATTCTCACATCTCGCAACGAAAACAAATGCCTGCGCATAGAACATTTCCTCCTTCCGACTTCCACGTTGTAAGAATGACAGCGATTGTTCTCATTGCCAATGGAGAATGCGTTCAAAACAAACGCGAGCTGCGCAAAGTAAACATAGAAACAATAGCGAAACGGTGTACCGGAACTTACTGACGGACATCTCGCGAAGAGGCGACGATTAGACGTACGCTGGGGAGAGGTTCAAGGTGAGGCGAGAGATGACATTGTTGCGTATCGTAGCGCGTGTCGTTCTCGAGCTCTTGATTATCTGAATGACCATGATACGACAGTCGTGACAAACAACGACGGCGACGCCGCGCAATCGTTCCGCAGCCATACGTTGCTCGGCACTCGGTCCGCTGGACGTCGAGAACGTCTTCGTGGTCGAGAGAGCAGCGGGACTGCCACTACCCTTATAGCATCTGCATGAACCATTTGTTATAATTAGAAAAAGTGATACAAAATTTTGTTTATTGATTAATATTATTAATAATAAGGCAGATATACAGTAACCTTTCTTCCTTGTTTCTATTTTACGAGTATCTCTGTTAAATGATTAGTTTCGCAAAATTAAAATAATCTGTATTTTCCAGATTCTAGTTACCGTGCAAAGTTGTCTACTATTAGCGGTATTAGAAAGAGGAGGTCATTCTACATATGCAATTTGTTTCTTCACGTAGAATCAGCATCAATAACAAATTATAATTCTGCATTAGTATGTAATATGACATAGCGATTCTCACTGACCTTTTGTCCATTCCTTGACTTTCTATTTCTCGACGCGCGTGACAGGGTGGTGTCGACATCGGCGTCAGTGCAGAGACAGGTGTCGTCGTTGGCGTCGAAGCAGGTGTACCAGTGCGCAACGCGGAATCCTTTCTCCTAGACGCAGGAGAGGCCGGTGCCGAACCGACAGCACTTGTGTTCCTCAACCAGGGACTTTTACCGCCACCGCTACCGCTGCTACTTTCCGCTTCCGTAGGTGAGAGTAATAGTCCGGGAGAAAGTAACACGACCGGCACCCGAGCGAACTGCTCTGTCGGTATCCGCATCTAAAATAACCGAATAATAAATCGAAGTTAGTTTAGATTCACCGTTATACGTAGATTTGTCGTCGTGAACCAATTCTTAGACTTAGACTTTGATTCTATTCTTGAGAGAAACGAATTTAGGATTTAAACAGAGCTAAAAATCTAAGAATTACATTTTAATATTCACTTTATGTAAAATAATAACCACCAAATAAAAGCCTCAAATATATCTAAGGATCTAAGAAAAATATACAAGAATTTAAAAGCCTAAACGTTTTAAGAGTGCCTAAAGAATTCAAGATGTAAGAATTCAAGGATTTATCTTGAAGATATCGAAGCTATCTTTCATATATCGACTTGAAATTTTGACAATAATAATTTTTCGTTAAATTTGAAATTTCCTGTACTACTGTAGTCGAGCTTAGCAGAATACTCGCATTCAAATAATCGTTATCATAAATATATACGTGACGTACACGAAAAATATGTCGATGTATACTCACTTTTGAATAACATTTCACGCAGACGGTTCTTTTGCACAAGCGACAGCGTTGGCCCCAAGGGCCCAATAAACCAAAGCGTGTTTTCAGACAGAGGAAGCAAACGCGTCGTTTCTCCACATCTTCTTTCACGCGTCCTTCTACAGGAAGGGACTCTAGTTCGGCCTTCGTGAGGACACTGCGAATGTGAACGATCTCGTCCAATGTTAACGAGAGCCTTTCATCCAGCAGCATGTCCCCGAGCGTCGCTTTCTGTGAAATGTGATTAAGTGCAATTGAAATCAACCGAAGAATATATTTTTGCTACATATATTTTCTTTAACTAAAGTTTTTCTTCAACTATCAACTATCGTGATTGTTAAAATTGCAGGTAAAAAAATATATTGGAACAGTTCAATTCTCAGCAAAAAGTAGCAATGCTAATATTTATGCATTATATGTTGTGGTAAAATATTACGACAACGATGGCAGTTATTCGTTTGATAAATAATTTGTTTTTATTGAATATAATAAAATTTAATTTATAAAAAATAAATTAAACTTTTTAATTTATTTCAAAAGGAAGTTATAATTGAGATAAAAATCACAAATTACAGAACACTTTATATATTTGGATCATTCAATTTAGTCTATTTGCTTGAATAGTCATTGTGTATCTGAGATAATTAGAAAATGATGTTTCTTACCCGATCAGTATCATCCTCCCATTCTTCACCAGGTACTTTCTCGTCTTTGCCCTCAGCGATCGTGTATGCCCGGCGTGGTTGTCTTGCTCGTGGCTGCGGACTGAGACTCGGGCTTGGGTTTAGACTGATATTGGGACTTGGACCTTGACTCAATGATGAATCCGTGAGACCGGCATGCTGCCGACTCTGCGGTCGCGACTGCGGCAAAGATGTCGTCCCTGTGAGCGACATTAACGGTACAACGCACTTCGCAGAATGTCTTTTTGCAGACGCTCTCCGGGAAGGACATTGCGTCGCCAAATCGTAAGCTGTAATTTGAATAAAGATATCGTACACAAAATATAACAAATAAGACGTTGTATCTTTAAGTGCTATGATAAAAAAAAGTGCGAAAAACGGTTTGAATATAATTCATAACAATTACATTCTAATTGAGCATCACAGAATCGGTGATATTCGTTTCTAGTTAAGCGAAGTCCGCCAGTCTTTCGCCAAGGATTCGCTGATCCCGCTTCGTCGTCGTCCCTTTGCTCGTGATCCTTGTGCCCGTTTCGCACATCCCGGCCACCAAAAGTGTAATCTTTCAGGTGCCAATAATTAGAAGCCTCATCCTCTTCCTCAAACCTCGTCTCGGCGAAATCCTCATCGTTGTAATATTCATCGTCGTCGTCGTCATCATCTTCCGCATCTAACTGTTCAGAGAATAGTACTCGGATTACCATTAAATGAAATATGAAGCGTTAAAGTGAAGAACTGATTTATTTCCACACTTTCTAATTAAGAAAAACATAAAAACATACCTTTAAATCAAAATCCACGGGTATCACTTTCTTGGGCCGTCTGGCAGCATTCAATACTTCCAGATTTCTTCCTGATGGTTTTGGGATTGCCGATGATTCGTACTCCTTGATATCTTCTCCGTTGTTCGTTATATCTGAAAAATCGAAATTAATTCGTCAGTACAATGTGACAACAAAGATTAGATCGACGCTGATGGCGAAACGTCTGAAATAGCATTGCAATTAATGTTGTATGTTCATCATGCGGTGAGACGATTAGACATGATCAAGGGAAGAGTCAAAGGAACAGATATATAATATAATGTTTCATTTGTAAAGACTTATTATTATTATTATTTATTTAGACTTATTAAAATATCAAACATGCCCAATTTTTTCAACGCTTCCATTTTATTTAAATTTTAGATTTTCATACGCTTATCTCTAATTTCTTTCTATCCTCATTGCCCCTATTTACAATATTTGTAATTCCATTATTCTCGTGTATCTCTTTGTCTTGGATTAAAAATTCTCACAAATTTAATTTATTAAACTTGATTCGCCAAATCATATCATATATATAAAGTATCAGCTTGCTTTAACGACAAACGATTACGATTCTAACAAATTTTTTTCCAAATAGAAGTAATTATAAAATCCGCTTCGCCGACGAATCTCCTTCAGTTAATATGAGGGAAGATATATTATACGTACTGTATATGTTACATATACGGTTATACATACGAGGATATTTATTACTCATTTTGTGTGCTCTGTGTTACAATAAAATTTACTAGACAAGCGTCTTTTATAATTATTCTTATATAAATTAATGGCCTCCAATCAGAAAGATGTGGAGACAACGTGGGTATTTACTTATCTCGATGACGATGATGAATGAGATGATTACCTGCGACCGTAATGCGCCTTCTACGCGACTTACGATTCCTAGCTGGTACGACCCTGACGTCGGGTCGGTCCTTGGCGATCCTTTGTCGTGGTTGTGGTACCGGCGGGACGTCCTGCTTCTTGCGGCTTGGTGCCGTCAGGACACCGGCACCAGGACCCGACGTCGCCATGGTCTTTTGATCCTCCGACTGCAACCACTGGGCCGCGACATCCTGCGCGGACTCCTGCTCCTGCTCCGGCTGCGACGGCGGAACCTCTCCGAGGACTATCATGCGAGACACGCCGCTCGCGTTGCCTGGGAAAATTGAAGCCATGACTCACGAGGGAGCACAAGTTCACTCAACTTCAATTTTCTGCGAGACGATTAATGTTTCTTTTTGTTTTCATAGTCCCAACTTGGACGACAGTATTCCTCTTTCTTGTCATTCTTTTCTAAAAACAAGACGCTTCATCTTCAACGAATAAGATCTTTTATATAATACTTATGCATATTTAGAATTTGCAGTTTTAAATTTTCCCAAATAAAAACTATATAAACAATGTATTTATAAAATAAAATAAATAAACATTTTTGTATAAAAAGAATTAAAAATTATTTTATTTTTAAAACAAATTTAAATAAACATTTCTTGTAATAATATTAACATAATCGCAAAACATTAAATCTTGCAAGTTAGAGATTACAATTTACCAAAATTTCATGAAGAGAAATTTGTTTTATCTTCGTCAAACAGCTTGTTGCTAAAATCTTATCCAATGAAGATGAGACATCCTGCACAATTTATGTGTGTTGATTCACATGGTCTTCATTAATTCTTGTTCTCTCCCAATCGTCACCAAACGATTCTGCGAAATAATATCAGGAATTCGTCTAATGCCGAAAGGTGAACTTGTGCTATTAATTAATTCACGGCTTCAATCGTACGTCGTCCTACTTTCCCGCTTATTAGTCCATTTAGTCACTTCGTCTAATATTATTTAATCATTCTTCAATTTCGTTCGTAAGAGCGTTATAATTGTGGCAAGTACGACGAAGGCAGTAGCGAACCTTGATCCTGACCACAGTGATGTTACAATAATCTTAAAGGAGGCAGGCAAGATCTCGTGGCGTCTTTAGATTTGTCGAAGTAAAAGGAGACTGCGGGAGTGTACGTCGTCATTTTCGTCGCCTCGAAGGATGTGTCTGAGCGTCCTTAAAGATGAGAGGAAAGATTGGGGAAGAGAGATTTAGAGACATTCGCACGTGGGGGTCCTTAAATCCACATATTCTTACTTTTACGGAAGTTTGTTTTCAAAGATGTTCGGAGTAGTTCTTACGCCCGCGCGTTCTTCAAGAGGCCGATTTTTGATTCCATAGATCTTAGATCCAGATTTCTGAATTTACGAATTGTAAATTCAGAGTCGAATCTTCAACCGATAAATTATTATATTCGCGCATTACAAAATTACAAAAAAGTATGTGTGTATCTACTGAGTTTTAAATTTTTATAGCAACTAAACTTATTTAGACTCTTGGAAAAAATCTACTAAAGAAATTTTGGTTCTTTAGAGTCCTATTATAGAGTTCATATTAAGTGTTTTAAATTATTTCCAGTATATATTATAAATTTTTTTTAATTTTTTGACTCTTAAAATTTCTTCAAATTTCGTAATTAACTCTTCAGTTTTAAAAATTCTACATACATAAAGTGATGACTTTTTCTAAATCTTAAATTTTTTATTTTATAACGTAACTAAGTCTACATATATATATATATATATATATATATATATATATATATATATATATATATATATACACAAATAATTAAATCTGTCGTTTACAACAGGATTTAAAAATCTAAAAATTTGTAAATTTAAAACTTAATGATTCAAGTTTAATTATACAAAATTATATAAAATTATACAAAATACACTGTATGTAGAATACTCATTAACTTTTAATTATTTAGTAGAGTCCTTGTCAGATTACTTATTATTAAGAGTTTTAAGATTACTTTTAAAATTATTTAACCAATAAATGGAGTCTATCTTTTAATAAATATTGAGATAGGACACATACTTTCTTGTCACATATAACAAATTTCTAAATCCTTGGGTATTTTACTTTTCAACTCTACAATCTCTATATATATATTTTACAAAGTAGACGAACGGAAGCAAACAACTGTTCGCGTTCTATGCTTCTTAAATCACAATAATTCTTCTGAACTTAGAAATTCTTCGCGAAATTATTCACAGATATATGCGCGTTAAAATCATTATTACCACACTCTAACACACTTTGGATACGAGAATTAGCGCGAATTTCACGGGGAAGACGCGCATCGGTGAAATAATCGTTCAGGACGTCGAACAACGTCGTAGAACTCGCGAGGGAGGGTTGACATCCGACTGGACTGGCGTGCCGCGATGACGTTTCAGGCAACGTCAGCTCACCTTTGCACGCTTACAGTTATTGATCGTCTACATCGTGTCCGGGATCTCCCTCTCTCTTTCTTTTCTGCCTGCGCCTGAAGCGCCCCAAATTGTGAATCATCCTATCGCAGCATAGGGCGCGATTCGATCTCAAGTATCCTCCTCGCACCCTTCGACATGACTCGAATTTACAGGCTACTAAGATATTAAAATCAATAGATATAAAAATTCCAGTATTCGCGAGTACAAAAATGAGAGAACCTAGAGTTCTTAAAATTTGCGGATTTAGCAATTTAAGAACTCAAGATCGACTAATGCAAATAATTTAAGAAGCAAAAAATCCAAAAGTCTGAGAAATCTCGATGAAAAAATTGGATAAACTGTTATGGAACTTTCATCACAGCAATATGTCGACGTATCGATTATCATTAAAGCATAGCTGATACTTCACTGAAAATATGAAAATGAAATAATACCAACTAAATATGTTTTAAATCACGTGAAACAATTTGTATATGAGTTATGTACACTATTATGTATTGAGTTATGTACTCTATATCATGACTTGTATGATATAGACTGATAATGTAATGATATAGACTGTATGATATAGACTTTAATCAAACGATTAAATGATGCAAACCTTAAATAAAATTTATTCAACAACTTTATTAAGAATCCTAACGCATAAAAAATCAATGAAATTTTTAAAATAAAAAAAAATAAAATAAAAAAAATTTGCATATAGATTTATAACATAATTAAAGAAGTATGATAATATTATTTTAAAGATAATGTGACGCAAGAGAATTCGTTTTTCTATTTTTGAAAATTTATCTAATACATTGTATCAATTTCAATTAATAGATGTAATATTTAATGATTGTTTCTCTCTCTCTGAGTTTTTCCTCAACTTCTAACTGTATAGTTTCTACATTCTACAGTAAAAATAAAAAAGATGTATAAAAAGTTAACGAAAAGGAAAAAAATTGAAAGTTATAATAAAGGAAAAAATTGAAAGTTATAATAACACTATTATCTACTATCGAATAAATATATAAGATGCATGGACTTACTAGGTGATGTTTCTTCAACTTTCGTAGTATTTTGTCTCGAGCAAGATGATCTTAAGGGTTTTGGGGGTTTCTTTATGCTCTCCATAAGTAATTCTCTCAGGGTGCATTCCTTCTGTAACGGTCGTAATCGTCTTTCCGAGGCCTATAAGTAAAATATAATATTAGTAACAATTCAACAAAATTCAATAGCAATTCGATAGATAATTATTTTTTCCAAATCTTACCTTTTTAAGCGGTGGACGACTACGAATAAACTCGAGAATAATTGCATGTGCGTCTTTCCTTGAAGATGTAGGTGGCGTCTTTCTAAGATGATACCGTCTCTCCCTGATATCGTCCATCAGAATTTCGTAAGGAGTCAGTTTGTAGTCCGGGGATCTTCCTTGCCCGCGTGAGGAAGCCCGGGAACCCAAATTAGCTTCTACCTTTTTCAACTTCACTCCTCGCCTCAATTCGCCGATAACTTGAACCCAAAATCTGGCCTGGCGATATATTTAAAGATGTTTCAGTATTACAATCAATAGATTCTTATAACAAAATGTATAACGTGTTAATGAATAATGTACTAATGGATTTGTTCTCTCATAAATCTATTACTAAATAACTTTATGTACATTATATAAAATCGTCTTACTACAATTTTCCTGCTATTTTGTGAAATTTGAGCATGCTATTCATTAGCACTATACATATTAAGTTTTGTAATGGAAAATATTTTCTAGAACTATAAAATTTTTATAAATTACTGCAACAAATAATATAAAATAGTAGAGAATAAATATATTAATTATATTGGTATAAAATAAAACAGTAACTAATATATCTCAATATATAGAAATAAATATGTAAATATATATATGTAAACACACACACACACACACGCGCGCGCGCACACACACAACCACAATAAACTAAATAACAATCTATATAAATAATCTATATATTTTTGCATATAATTCTCATTCATTGTAATTATAACTTTACCAATAATTGTTTTCCAATACTCTTCTTTCTTGTAAAAAATATTTAAATTTTTTAGAGCAAATAAATACAAATTTTGTTGATATAAAATGATAAATTTTACATAAAAATATTAGTGAACTTAATCATCGTGCTGCATGCATTTATTATATTTAATAAACGCTAACATTGATTCCAGTAACTTTATAATATAGTATAATATAGATAGTTCTAAATAAAATAAAAAAATATAACTACAATGAAATAAACAATTGTGATACATTTTTACGAGACAAACGTACTTGGATGGCCCTCCAAATTCTAACGTCCGTCTACAAGAGTAAACGCAATTAGCAATCAATAAATTTAACTTGCGAATTATATACATATAATTATTATTATATATTATATGCCAATCTTATTTTTATATCTTTTGTATATCTTTTTTCTGGAAAAGATATGTGAATAAGTGAAATGTATTTAAGAAAGGGGACTTTTAAATATTTTTTCTATCATAAACGGAAATTCAATATTTTTTTTGCGGAAATTCGTGTATTTTTTTATCTTTGTATATTCCAATAAAGCTTACCCAATCATTGAAATCCAAAGTGTCGAGATTTTGCAGCGAAGTCGAGCTATGATCAGTCCCATTCATACTAAATAAATTTTGTGATTGTTTATCAACAACCACTTTTTCGAGAAACTGAGAGATATTAAGAGCCTCTTCTACGAACGTTTGTATTACATTCTGATAATAATTATCGACATCTTCATGCAAACTTTGTACGTGCCGTGCGCATATCTGAAATCAAGCGATACATCGTGTTTTTCTGCGTTCTTATTACTTATTTAAAAATTATAATATTTATAATTTATATAATTTAGTTATATTACTATATATTAAAACTTACTTGAAGAACAGTCTTCAGGGTACATACTGAACTATCTGTATACCGCTCGGCGGTTTTCGACATCATATCATCGTCAGCATCAGTATCACCCGAGTCTCGTTCAATACCCTCGTCGTCAGTTTCCTGCAGGCGTCCCTCCACATCGCCTTCAGATGCTATTAAAATAAATTAAATGACATTTTACAAAACAAAATTTCAATTCATATAATTTAAGATTCAGCTCAAATGCACAATTGTATACTACTAAAGAGAGAAATTGACTCACCTCGACTACAATTTGTCATCAATGTAATAAGAGCTTCTAGGTCCGGTGACAAAGCTATTTCCTCTTCTGCATTAGAACCAAAATCCAAGGCCTTGAAAATCACCATACCCAATGAAACTACTGCCTACAAGTGCAAAAAAGAAAGTTCAAAGTTAATAAATGAAATTAACATACGTTACAAAATATAGTTTAATATTTTAATAATAGTTATATTACTTTTTCCTCAGAAACAAGAGGTTGCTTAGAGCCTGCAATAAAAATTAGATTGTTAATTATGCTCCATGCTATAACAATCACAGTTGATGATTATTTTATATTAGCTAAAATATATATTTGTTAAGGGAAATTAAGAAAATTTGTTGTTTAAGTTGTTTATGACATGGGATTGTATTAGTGCATAAAATATTTAAATGTCTAAAGTAATAAATGTGCAATAAAATAATAATGTTGAAAAATTTATATTAAAATTGATGCACCAAATTTATAGTATTTGGAATTAGAATTCTAAAACAAAAAACAAAACATTACCTGCTAAGTTATCAAGTCGAATATTTCCATCTTTATGAAGCACAATTTGTGAGAATTCCGATATCTCATAAAATTTATTCTGTGTTAAACTTGACAGACTCTTAGTTGTCTGATAGCATAATGCCCATGCTCGTTCCTGACTCACAGGGCTATTGAATATCAATAAAATATCCTGAAGATTTAAACAACCATGCAAGTCCAGTTTACATCTGCGTTGTGCCATGTTTCCTTTTTTTCTTACTGTCGCTTTAGGTTGCTCGTCTAACATTGTGGATTCTTTCTGACTAGAGTCAGGACTTTTCTTAGGATTCGACATTGTGTATATTTACAAATATTTATGCCAAATTCATGAAGACAACAATGGCAATTTCGTTGTTTCTCTTTGACTATGATCAGAACTTTTTTTAGAATTGGACATCACGTGCATATACAAATATTTTTTATGCCAATTTTTATAAAGACAATGATAAATATTTCCTCATTAACAGTATTATTTTACACATAACCACTGATATCTATTTATCATCATTTTATATTGGTCAAGCATCGATTCACTATAAATTCCTATATAACTGTATATTTTAAACAAAGTATACAGGTTGAGAAGTTCCATAGTGTAGAAAATTAAAATTTTTTCATTCATAAAAGAATATCAGTTTCATTTATTTACACAATATTGGAGTTATTGCTTCAAATTAATAGGAATTAGCATAATCTTCAATTTGTAAATAATTACATTACCTGAAATATATAATCACAATATGCTTTTGTAGAAACTTCATAATTTTGTTTATTACTTAAATATTAATCATATTATAACAATTATAGTAACAATAATAATAGTAAGTATAATAAGTGTAATAAATAATAAGTAACAATAATAAACGATAATAAGTAATTATATATACTCACATTTACACGATTGTGAAGTAGATTTGTATGGATTTGTATTTCAAGAATCTAAATCACAAAAAATAAACACGATATCCGGTTTGCCGTTTATTCTTATTCCGTTATCCTTGACTCGTTAATTGGCAACTGGTTGCGATCGAAATGAATGGATTATAACCATAAACAACGTTACGCACACACACTTACAATGACAGCTCAACATTCGAGTCTTATATTAACAATTTCATCCCACATAATTCTATAGCGTTATCGTATGTGGCTAATTCTTAAATCATCATTCACGTCTTTACTTTTCACAAGACAAAAAATTCACGTCAAGGATACGCAAGGATCATGAGCAGTGCTCGCGAGACCGCACGGAAAGACATCGACATCCTGCGGTCTTATCCTCGAAAAATATCGCATACGATATTTCGATGAAAAGCTATAGTATATGTCATATGAACTATAGCTTTTTATCGAAATATCGTATGCGATATTTTTCAAGAATACTCTGCCATCTCGCAGTTTTCGATATCGATTCTCGCAATTTGCGATATCTCAATTGCCGATCTTCATATAGAAACATACGGTATTACTTGTTGATTCTGCCTATTGTTCAATATAAAGAAAAAATGCATCTGATCTAGGTCGTGTTCCGTTTTACGTGTATGCGCGCATTTATCTATAGTTCATGTTACGTGTATTGTAGGAAATGCGCGCATAATACGTGAAACTGAACGCAGCAATACTGTTAAATCTATCACTACTTCAATTAAGGAGGATTCATGCCTGGAACACAATACGCCGTATGTCGGAGTTGGAAGTCGGAACGCAACCGATGAGCCAATGAGAGAATTTATTTTTCGAGAATGAATTCTCCTTATTGGACCATCGGCTGCGTTCCGACATCCAACTCCAACATACGGTGTATTGTGTTCCAGGCCTCACACTGCATCTGGGTAGCGATCATGAGTCTTTCACGAGAACTTCATTTTCATTTTTCACTTTTCACTGTAAGTTATTTCACATGAAAAGTGAACAATGAAAATGTGGAAAGCAATATTTATGTAATATAGATTATCAAAATTAAAATGTAATTACAGTATACACAATGTAACATATAATACATTAATAAGCATTATACAACTTAAATTTATAGTTATAATATAATATAATAATACAATATGAGTTTAATAAATGAATATGAAATTTAATAAATGAAACGAACGTTAACCGAAAGGTGAATTCTCAAAACATGAAATATTTCACATAAACTTTCAGGGCAGCGATCACGTAACTTCGAGCGGAATTTTTCACTTTTCACTTTTCGCTCTATCGATTTCACGTGAACTTTTTCATTGTTCACGCAATCAAGTAACTCTATGTGTGAAAAGTACAAATCACTAAATATGGTTCCTATATGATTTCAATATCAATCAAATCAGCCATATCCATCGGCTGTAGAAGATATTAACCTTAAAAACATTGCTATAACCTTAGGATTGTTATGTTTCATGTATCTCATCACAGCAGTAGCATAAAGGCTCGTCTACAATAGCTGTAAGAATATGTCTGTAAGGCTGTAACGTGAGCTGTCAGCGAATGAAAATAATTCATTTCGCGTCTTACAGCTTTACAGCCATATTCTTACAGACATTGTAGACCACGCTTAATATATTCCGCATTCATTATGTCACTAGATTTTCATTTTTTCGCCAGCACATTTCATGGCTAACAAGTTCACGTGAAAAGTTTCACGTTTCCACGTTTCGCCGAGTTACGTGATCACGAGTTCACGTGAAACTTCACTTTTCACGTTTCCGTCCTAGGAGAAAAGTTACATGATCGCTGCCCAGTTTGCTCGTATATGTTCTTCTTTACATGTAAATGTGTAAGTTTCCATGAAAATTTTTAAGTATCAAGCGATGTGGTTTAAATGTGAAAAATAATGGGCGCATTCAGTAGAAAAAGCGCTCAGTGAGCAATCAACGATTATTGGTTCTTGCTATTAGATCCCTAAATCTAGACCAATTACATTGACAAATTACTCAACTGTTGTGCAACTGTTGAGTCTGCTGAATGCAGCCAATGTAATACTATACTCGCATATTATGTACAAAGTGAGTAGAGTTTCTTATAGTGACTTTAATTTTTATGGTTATACGACAATTTGACATAAGAATCCTACGTCCATTAAAAATGAACAACAAAAGCCGATTAAAGCGTGATAACGTATGTTAAACGGCAGTGAAAGTATACCGACGAAGTTTGCAAAGATACGTATGCATCAGAAAGTTAAAGTGTAATATATTATAAATTGTATGCAATAAGTAAAATATAAGTTTATTTTATGTATTTATTGCATGTATTTTATGTATTATTTTATATAAAAATTATATTTTCTGCAGATTTATAATTTTAATATTAATAGAATATTTTATCTTTTCATAATTTATCCTAAAGTAATCTCAGACAAGCAGACTTTCAAGGGACGTTCTAAAGACATCACTATGTCTTAAAAACATGCTGAAAAAATTCTAAAGATGTCCATTGCAAATTAGTGTTGTCTTGAGTATATTATAATATTTGTTTTACTTACAAATCTTTCATTTTTCACGAGTTTAGTGAGGGTTTTCATCTTTCACGAGTTCATTACAAAATTTTCACTTTTCACGAGTTCACACTAGGGGAAAAGATTCATGGTCGCTACCCTGATGTCCGACGTACGACGTCCGATATCCACTAGGAGAACAGCTTTCTAATAGAGAATTAAATTCTCCATTGGAAAGCTATTCTTTTTTTAATTCTCCTTCAGTGAATCCTTCATTATTCTAAGCATTTCAAAGAGTTCTCAGGCTGCGTTCGGAAACATTACTCAAGTACTCTCCTCTTTTTATCTCATTTTTGTATCTTACTCATTTCAACGCAGCTCCAGGGCTATGTTCACAAATCCTACTCGATGAATAAAGTTACTTTAATAAACCAATCATAATAAATAAATCTTAGTTCCTTTTGCTCTGATTGGCTAATTAAATGTTACTCTACTCACCGAGTAGGGTTTCTGAACGTAGCCCAGAATGATACGATAGCGCTAATAGCAAGTTATTCAAACGCGCCTATAGTCAAACGTCAAAATAAAAAACAAGTCCAGGATTTATCACAACACAAAATTGATTCTAAGATTCTATGTTTTAAGATCTTCGATTAATTAAAAAAATTTACACATTTTACGAGACAAATATTTCTTTTTTAAACAGAGCTTAATATGTAAGGATTTAAATTTCGCGATTTTCTCCAATAAGAACAAATATTTTTGTAAAACTTATAGTTCTCGTATATTTTTCGTATATTATACGAAACTATTAGATCAAATAACTGTAATTATCAATTTGTGGTGACGAGAATGGATTTGTACGGAAAGGATAAGGGCAATATCAGTTTACCTCTTCGTTTACAGTCGCCAAATACCAACAAAGGCAAACTGAAAGAGATCATCGTTAATACACAAAAAGCTTTTTATAATTTAAAAATCGCAGACATAGTTAAAAAAATTCAAAGGTATTTATTAATAAAACATTTTTGAATTTCTTTTAAAACATTTGTATTACTCTTAAAAATATAATAAAATATATATATATATATATATATATATATATATATATATATATAATGTTTATATTTATATATAATAATTATACATTTAAATTATATGTACATGTATTGTGCTTGATATATAATTAGAAAATCACTTCTTTGAAAAGCCATATCATTTAGTAAATATCCCAGTGTAATAAATAATACTCTAATCTTAATCTTTAATATATCTATATAAATATGTTATATTTATATTTTATATGTTTTACATGTTATATTTTAGAATAATGTTATATTTTAGATATTTACTTTTTGATACATGATTTAAATTGCAGAAATTATTAAATAGTGATCTTCTAATATACAAAAGATACAATACCTTCATTAACAATACGATTCCTTAAATATTAGATTAGAAGAACGAAATAAGGTATTAGAAAATAGTTTGAAAGATACAGATAGTTCAATTAAAGTCTTACAAGAGAAGAGATCACAAGAGATATCTGGTTTAAAATTACAAGTAGATACTCAGATAGCCAAAGTGGAAGAATATAGGCAGCAAGTGAGTGCTTTGGAAAATACAAGAATAGACCATGAATCCTCTCATGCTGCAAAATTGATATACATAAAAAAAAAATATGATGACACGCGACTCAAATTTATTTCGCAACTCAAACTTTTGAGTGAGTATTACTGAATTCTTAATATTTCTCGAGAGATCACTATATTTATGTTATTCATATATTATATATATGTTATTTATTTATATTTTTGAAAGTAAAATGTGGCTATAACCATAAATTTTCTTTAATATGCCAGATGCTAAAACTAACGTCTTAGAAGATTATAAATCAGTGCAACAAATTCTGGAAAAGAAATTAGAAGCACAAAATCAAGCCTTAACTCGTGATAAGGAACGAGTATCAGAAAAATTACATCAGATTGAACGAAAATTCAAAATTGACAAAGAAAAGTAAAACGGATAAATTTTATTTGTCTTTGCTACACATTTCTCATCAATTGCTATTATTTTTCAATAATGCTTCAGACTCAATGAAGAATTATACAGTCATCTCTTAGAGTTAGCTGGTATATTTCAACTTGAAGTAGCTCAGCATATGCCTTACACTATGTCCAAATTGCTGTCAGAAAATATAGCTGTAAGCAATATGTTATCTGCAATCGCAGAAAACACGAGTATTAAAAAACAGGACTATATTGAACGCAAGTAAGCCTTAAATTATAAATTACTTAGTATAAATGTTCAATTGGGTTTGTATAAATTGAAGATATTCTAACTCTCTTATTACTTTGCGCAGAAACGCTGTAAAAGGATATAGAAAAAGAATTAATGATGAACACTTGAATGCAAAACATTCTTTGTTGGTTACAAAATTGGAAAAATCCACAAGCGCGAAGTTACGTGAAATGCGCGATAAAACTGAAACTAATTTATCCAAGATAAAAAAATTTAATTATCTCACAGAAGAGCAATATGCGAAAAACATAAACAATGCGAAAAATAAAGCGCGACAATGTGAGGTGCACGTTAAATATTTAGAAATATTACTTTATTGCGAGAAAGAGAAACTTACTATTGTTGAAGATAAAAAACAACAGTTAGTTGACCAGTTACAAAAATACAGACAAATGCTCTGTGACGTTACGTATACATTAAACGATCTAAAAAATGTATAAAAAATAATCTAATATTTTATTCACATAAATTAATATAAAATTAGGTAACCCTACTGTATTTCATGATAGATTACTTATTGTAAAGTTTTTCTGAATATTGGAAATCTGGTTTATTACATATCTTAAGAAATTATACAGGAAATTAATTCACATTAATAATAAATTTTAATTTACATATCAATAATTTTTTTTTCAACCAAAACAAAATACTAAAACATAACATATAAGATTAAATATTAAGTAAAGAAAATATAAGAGGATATTCTAAATACCTTTCTCATTGCGACATCTTAACCAAGTTTATTTTATGATCCGGTTTTATGAACTTCTTCACTTTTGCTTTTTCTTTTTTCCTGTATCACAGAAAAAAATGATTTAAACAATGTATCAGATACATCATGCGAGCAGTTTATTAACAATTTATCAACAGATTTCATATTTAAATTTATCTTTTCTAGTTCGTTTTCTTTTTATTTACTGTAAAGTTTTTTTCCTCAAAAACCTCCCAAACTAGACTCTAATGTTACTACAAATATATTTAAAACATTTTTTCTCTGTTACTTACAATTTTATGACACTCGGTGCGATAATATTTCTTTGCTGAAGAGATTTATATCGATCTTGCAATAAATTCTTACTGGAATTACAATTTCTCAGATTTCCACACAATTCTTCCGACAGTTGGAAATCAGAATCCAAAGGTACAAATTTCGTTTTGCTCAGAGTTTTTGGCATGGTGGATTCTCTTGCACGTTTTTTTATACGTTTTTGTCGTAAAAGATCTTCCTTTCTTTCTTTGGCGTCTATCTGCTTTTTTAAAACTTTTAGTTTATAAATATCAGAGACCTTTTTTTTCTCAATTTTAGTTAAGGTGCGTTCATTGGCTGCTTGTTTCTGCTCCCGTTGCTTTCTCCTCTGTACAAGTGTTTTCTTTACATTCTTTGTAGGTTTACCTTTTGTTATTGCTACCAACAGATCTTCCTCAATACAGCCTTCTTTAGTAGGCTCTGAATTTAATATAATTTGTTTTTCTATTGGTAAACCTTCTGACATTTCTTTCATTAGATACTCGTCTTTTTTATCTAATGGGATCTATACAAACCAATATTAAAAATAAAAAACAAATTGATAACTTAAAAAAAAACTCAAATATACTTGCCTTTTTGAACATCTTAGTTGTGACCCTGTCCAAATGTGCCTCTTCTTTTATAAGTTGCAATTCTTTCTGGGCAATATCATTTAGTAGTTCATGGTGATCATTATATGATGGATTATAGGATGTTCCTGGATGTGGTATTTCTATTGATGGTAGAATAGAAGTTTTTTTATGTAATGATAAAGGCAATTTCCTTTTCTGTACTCCTAAGTGTTTGACTGTATGTCTAACACTATCTGTGGACATCCATTCTGTGACTGCATCTGGTAATAGATTGTTTGTGACATCCCATAGATCATTTTTGAATTCTCCTCTTTTAGGACGTTTCATAACAGCAGCTGTTTTAAGTGCTCTATTTTTCAATACTTCTCTCTCTTTCAATTTAAGAATACCCTTTAGTTTTCTTTCTGTTTCACGTTGTCGTAATATTGAATTCATACGTTCCTCCTTGGTTCTGACTCGGTTTCGTTTTGAGATTGGGTCAGGAACTTGTGTATGTGGTTTCAAAGGAGCAAAACATCTTGTTTCTTTTTCCTTGAGAGCTAATCTAGTTGCACGTTTGGAGGATATAACAGGTTTAATTTCATTAGGAGTGTTATCAATGATAAATAACTCAGAATCTACTCGCTCTGACAAAGGAGCCCCTAATCGTTCTTCTAATCTCTTGTCTTCAAGAAACTGTTCTACATCCTTAGTATCAATGTGCTTTCTCCATGATTTCTTCGTCTTTTTAGAGACCTTATGTTTTTTAATTTTAGTGTTATTCATCTGTGGAAGAGATCACAATTGTATTTCTTAAAAATAGGAAACATCTAAACATTCGAATCGCTTTTCTGTAAATATCCAGCATATAATTCTGTAAATATCCAGTAAATATTTTACCAAAACTTACCGCGAATAATTATTTTACACCACGTGCGTTAAAAAAGTTACTGCTAAACTAACCTCATAAATAGATAGTATGTATCTCCTCTCTCTCTATGGTTTCAAACCTTCCTCTTCGGTCCTTAAGCCCATATCATACTAGCGATTGACGATTGATGATTCGAACTTGACCAATTGGAACAAAGCAAGCTAAAGCTGAAGCTTGTGAAAGTCCAGCACACACCCACGCACACACAACTAACTTTGTTGAATCACATAAGCAACCCACAATCATTTTTCATGTTTACTAAGCAGTCGCCGTTTTTTAACATATTTATTATTTTTAAGCTAAATCGCTTATGGCTTCTGCACACAGGGCGCGGTAATGCTTGCCGCGTGGCGGAAGTTCGCACGACAGCCAATTAATATGCTGCTTTTCATAATAACCTTCTAGCTCTTACGGAAAAATAACATATTGATTGGCTGTCGCGCGAACTTTCGCCGCGCGGCAAGCATTACCGCGTCCTGTGTGCAGGAGCCATAAAGCCTGACTATGGCTGCGTTCAGCAGAGAAAGCTGCTTTGCAACTGTTGTAAAATTCGTCAATGGCTGCATTCAGCAGACTCAACAGTTGCACAACAGTTGAGTAATTTGTCAATGTAATTGGTCTAGATTTAGGGATCTAATAGCAAGAACCAATAATCGTTGATTGCTCACTGAGCGCTTTTTCTACTGAATGCGCCCAATCTGATTAGAATATGCTCTTAATTTGAATTGAATACAAGACCAATCAGATTCACGAATTTTATACAGTTGCAAAGCAGCTTGCTGAACGCAACCAATGAATACGGGCATAAATGTCTTTCTTCATGTGTGGTGAAAAGGCCACTGAGTACAGGCCTGGAATCATAGAGAGAGAGAGAGAGAGAGAGAGAGAGAGAGAGAG